TTATGTTGATTCAAATTTGTAATGTGCAATTAAATGACAAATCATTGTTCCAAAGAACATGTTTAGTTGAGTCTATTATGCAGGACGCTTGGAAGGAAAAGTCTAGTGATTAAAGATTAAATTTCAATGTTCAATCAATGAAGGTATACCGGGTTAATATGTGGGAGGCTTGAAGTGTGATATAGGTCGAAGTCTATTATTTGGAATGTATTATGAGTTCGAGGATTGTAATTCCAGGGTGCATACAGTACTATTACATGTATTTTTTCCTGGAGTTCAAGCTTCAATGATCACTGGTAGATGCATATAAGATGTTAATTGCGTATAACTCAATGTGATCACTAAGGAATGATTTTGTCATGGACATGTAGCTTCAAACCACAGCGAGTTAACGTCCATGTGGGAGAATGTAAGAATCCTATGTGGACTCAACTAGTTGTGATAAAGAAGTAATATGTTGGTAATGAGAATCATTAGAGTTTGAATACGTGTAAAACTAACATCCTATAATTGAGAAAATACATCCAACATGCTTCTAAAGCCACTCCATACATGGTTGGGATTTGGTGCAACGGGTGAACAACCAACCCTCCACGATAGATGGAAGTTGGATACCATTGCATCATATAAATGAATTCCCTACTCATAGAGAAAGGGTTTTACGTTCGGAGTCTATCACCATTAGAATATAAAGGTATCTAAATGAGTAGAAGAGTTTTTTTTACAACCACCATGTCTTCAACAAGTAAATCTTCTACTCATATAGATTAACATGTGATATAGGGTTCATGTTAAGTTAAATTTTTGCTCCAACATTTGGTATCAAAGCCAACTTAGCAGGCCCTAGATCCATTGTATAGTTAAATTGCATGACAGGGATAACATGGTTCTCAACTGTTTTGGTTATTGACAGTGCCGATGCTTTAGTATGCGAAGAGGAATGAAGTGGCCTGCAACAAAACCTACCATACAATCCAATTGTTCAACTTCAAACTCAATGAGTTGGCTCGTAATTCGGGTCTGGATCATTTGCCAACTCCAATGAAGCATAAGATTGAGAAGTGGAATAGCATAATCTACCCCAATGTCAACGATGAAGTTCATAGATGTAGGTTTGCTCAGTTTCAACAAGCAAACGATACAGTGGTAAACAAGTTCGACACACTGGACATGGTCGAAGATCATTTAAGCAGTTAGAGATACCTGTGTGGAGATGGACTCACACTTGCAGATGTTTGCTTGTTCACTACGTTAATCCAGTTTGATCTCGTTTACAATTCGGTTCTATCTTTTCCGCTCCTATAATGATAGTTTGGTTTGCAGTAAAATGTTATGAACAATTAAGAACATTGTTCGATTACAGTAAAGGAAGAATATTTGTGGTTTAAAACTCATGAAATGTTCACATTCTTTTCCAAAGAAAGTGATGTATAAATTGTTGGTAGTTTTAATCAGTGTATGGCATCTTGAATGATGGCTATACAATGAAGGTCAATGGCAGTTTATATCTCTTGCCCAAAGGTGTGATATAAACATGCATTTAACAATCACTAATGGTTATTACAAGTTTTTCATATCTCCAATAGGAAAGGAAAGACAAAGGCTTTTCTTCGATGGCACCTGCCCTAGCTTCAACTAGGGTCGATTGTCGAGTCTTCTTTCCTATCTTTTCCTTCTTTTTTCCTTGCCTCTACTAATGTTTCTCCCCATTTTTCACTCCGGCCTGTCCTGTTCTTCAACTCCCGTCGGTATACCTCTTCCCAACTCTTCCTTGGTCCGATATTCAGCCATATTTCCTTATGAGTTCTTGTGTAGAGTTTCAGTGTTTTCACTGGCTTAGGTATTTTCAACACCACCATGTTCTCCTTGCTGTCTGCCATTTTTGGCAGTATTGCTCGTGGGTTTCTACAAGCTTCCTACTAATAGTTGGCTTATCACTCCTAGCTGCCAACTATCTCTTGCTTATGGTTGTGTGCTCTGGTAGTTGTTCGAGGTTGGAGGTGGTGTTTGAGGAGGCAATACTCGGTGGTGAACGACATTTATGTTGGCTGGCCTAGAATTGAGTAGGTGGAGATTACAGTGGAAGCTTCTTGGCTACCGTGGTGTTTTTTTGGGCTTCATTGTTGTTGGGCCCTCTTTCTATTTTTCTGTTGTTTTAGGTCCTTTTTTGGTTGTTTATAGGTGTAATCTGGGCTTTTGGTTTGCTTATCAATTTGAATTTGCTGTTTAATAAAAGTTTCACCTTGACCAAAAAAAAATAAGTGGACGTCATGATACCCGCTAAACTAATAAAGAAAAAGAGGAAATATTTTAGTCGATCTAAAGGGTAATTTGTTTCTCTACTGGGTTTCCTTAATCAAGTCATTGCCTATGAGTCGCCGGTTAATTCTTCAATAGGCACGCCGTCAGAGTCTTGGGCTCCTCCCTTTGCTTAGGAGCTTACATTTTCATTTTCTATTTCACTCCCTGATAGGGGTTGTTTTTACCCTTTCCTCCCGGTACCACTTCACTATCGATCACCCAGGAGTATTAGCCTTGCAAGGTGGTCCTTGCTGATTCACATGAGATTCCACGTGTCCCATGTTACTCGGATCAGAGCGCAAGCTAGTGATGCTTTCAGCTGCTGGACTCTCGCCATCTAAGGTGCGGAGTTAGCTCATGGGTTGAAAGTTGAAACAATTCAAGCAAAGCGGCTGAACCAATAATATAGGGTCCCCATCAATCCCATATTTCGGGTACGACACAGACTCTTCATGCAGCGCAACGTCAATCTCTTAATTGGTGTCAATCCTCAAGGATGGAAACCGTTGATTTTTTTTAGGAGAAGAGATTAGATTGCAGACCCGTTGGTCCTCAAATATATACCGGAATTTCTTCCAAGATTATTACATCAGAAGCATTCGTTCACTTGAGCTTCGTCGATGTATCTTAAAAGCATAAATCGGAACTTGGACAGATTGCCCTCATTTTAGTTTAAACGCAGTCCTCGGCGTCAAAAGCGTCAGATCGAAATTATACTCATGCACGACGACACGATGATCGTGAAGCTGTTGGTCCGTTGGATGATCATATCACAGAGCGTCGTCTCACCCGAAGCCGTATCTGCCGAAACGCCAATGACTAAGGGTTGGTGGTGTGGGGGTTGGGAGGTTGGAAGAGGGGAAGCACTCTCTCTCTCTCTCTCTCTCTCTCTCTCTCTCTCTCTCTCTCTCTCTCTCTCTCAAATATTGTTCAAATCAAATGAGTCAATATAGATTCCAGCTAGCTTTCCTTTGGAACTGGTACAATTCTTATTACCTCTAATTAATTATTTATTATTTAAATAGAGCATTTTATTTTCTTTTTAAAAAACTTTACCTAATTTTAATTTCATTTGTTAATATCTTTAGAATAAAAAGTACTTAAAATTTTAGTGTTTTATAAAAAAAATAATAAATTGAAATAAAAAATAAGGCTAAATTTTTTTTCTTCATCTCTTGGTGAGACACTACTTTTAAATCGACCGCTATAGTGAAAAAGTGTTAATCTTAACCCTATGGTGAAGTTCATTATCAATCGAAGTTCAAATTGAAATTTCTATCAAAATCTCATCCATGTGCAGGGGTAAAAAGGTCATTCCATTTTTTTTCTTTTCTTTTTGGTGATTCCACTTTTTTATGATCAACAAAATTAAAAAGAAACAAAAAAACAAAAAAACAAAAAATCCCTCCCCAATCCCTACCCTTGTCGGCCATAGCCACAAAGACCACCCACCATCTTCCCCCTCTCTCTCACATAACCCTAGCCATCCCGTCCACCACTGTTCTTCTTAAAATGAAACTAAATTCAATATTTCATAATAAATTATATTCTAACCTAATCACGGCGAGGTACTTTTTGATTTTTAAATCTTGAATTTGGACTATTGGCTCTCTTGAAATGAGAAAGTCTGATAATATGAACCTTGTAATTTTATTATTTATTTATTCTTTTATTATAGCTCTAAAAGTTTTAAAAATAAAAAAATTTATGTCCATATGGTGCTTTTGATTGGTTGATGGAATCAATAAAAATGAAAATAACAATTTTGCCCCTACAAATGACAGAAGAATGAGAAAAAATCCAATTTGGACTACGATTGATAACAAATTTCACCACATGATTACAATTAATAGTTTTTTTCACCATAGGGGTCTATTTAAAAGTAGGGTATCACCCAAGGATCATGCAAAAAATTTGGCCTAAAAATAAATGATATGTCAAGAAATGCAGGTATATTTTTTATTTAAAAAAAAAAATCTCGCGCTATGAGGAAAATTTATTGATATGAAAAAAAGCTATACCTAATCAAGGGGGGGACAAAAGCCTTACCTCTTATAAAGCAAGAAAAACAAAATATAAGAAAAGAAAGGGGGAATACACCTTACCCTGCTTGAAAATTAAAATACAAGAAGAAATGAGGGACTAGACTTTAACCCTCTTGAAAAAAGAAAATACAAGAAAAAGAGAAGGTGGACATAGGACCAAACCTCTCTCAAATAAAACCTAAAAGGTAAGAACCTACAAGACAAGCTACAAAACAAAAAAGGAAAATCCCAAAAAAAAAAATAGGTAAAAGAAAACCACACATCAAGAAGGGGAGATAAACCTGTAGGCCGACATAACCAAGAAATTTGATTGCAGAAAATGAAGAATCTTTATAGGAGGAGCTGCATGTCAAACAAGTGAAGATGAGAGAAGCCCTAAATTGGCCAATTTATTTATTAGCAACTGTATTCTCTTCTCAAAACGTACAGTTATTCCAACGAGTCTGGAGCGACCAAAGAGGAGAAAAAAAAAACTAGAAACAAAGCAAGATATCACGTTAGAAGAGTCATTTTCAAGCCATAAATGTTGCCAACCCTGCGCGTGAGCCAACTCCACAGTAAGAATGATAGCATGAAGATCCGCATAGAAAGCAGTGTTTTAAAAAACTCACCCCAAGGCACGCCTAGGTGGCCTTGGAGGCAGGGCATGAGGAAAATCACCTTTGTTTTGTGGGAGTGGGCGAAAACCCACCTAGTCTTCGTTAGGGGTGCCTGGGTGACCGAGCGCACCTGAGGCGTTCAATGGGCGTCCATTTTTTCTTTTTTTGAGTTGCCCAAATCTGAAATTTCCTGATCAGGGGCCGTTTGTCTGAAGAAGATGAAGTCGCTAGCGCCTTTTCTTTTCTTTTTTTTAATATTTTTTTCTTTTAGGTTTAAAATGACCCTACTTTGCTAACATTTATTATCCCACTATCTTCCTTTATGTTCACTTTTTGTTTTTTATATTATTCTTTTCTCATATTCAAAATAGATAAGCATCTTTTAGTTTTAGTTTTTATTATTTTTTTAAGATAAAGAAGCATATTTTCTTGGATATTCTACCAACAGGAAAAAAAGATAAACATATGTTTGTTTTTAATTTTTTAACGTTATATTATTTAAAAGATACATTATCTTATCCTTATTTTTTTTGAGACTACATATCTTACTCAAATATTACTCAAAACTCTCATAATTCATATAAATATGCACTTACTTAAGACTAAAAATGTTTGATTTCCACCCTATTTGTTTGATTGTTGATTAATGTGATTGCTTGGTTAAATTTGTTTGTGATGTGAGTTCAATTTGTTTGTGACATGTGCACTTTTGAATAACAATGAATATTTATTTTACAAAGTATTATATTTTTATATATTATATATAATTCTGTATAATATATATTAATAAAATTTAGGTCTCGTGAGGCTTCGCCTCATGCCTCAAGGCTTTCGCCTAGACGGGACCATCCATGAGACGCCTCGTCCACGCCTCCGCCTTTTAAAACATTGATATAAAGAAGTACAATGCCCCAAGCTCAGTGAGAAACCACTAAGAAAATAACCTGCAGAATCTCGAAAAATCCCACCACATGCCGCAAGACTCGGGTTACCTTTAGTAAGGTCATCTATATTCACTTTGACCCAACAAAATGGAGGAAGTGTCATCAGGTATATGATTGGTTACGTGTCATTGAAAAGAAAAACATGCAGTTAACTGAAAACATCAAGGGGATGATTCAAATACTTTGCATGATATTCATTAATTAGTGCCTCGTTTACAAAATCTGTTAAAAACCCTCGAATATCAAAATGTTGGCCAAAAAATATGAAAGCTGCATCCCAAGCAGCTCTCACTGTAGTGGCTTGAGATCGATTCTAACTTGAGTAACTTGAGATGAGGATGGTCGGAAACACCAACATGCAGAGGTGCGTCAAAAGTTCTGTCCAAAAAAATGTTTGCTAACACATGTTGTATTTGCTAAGTGTATAGTAGCAGAAAATTCCTCTTCGACATATATGCAAACCTCGCACCGTATGCTCTTTGTTCACTCATGAGCCATGTTACAACATCATCCATAAAATTGTATTTTTGTACAAAATCTTGTTGTTTTATGTTTAATATTTGTGGGTGCCTTTAAAACTTTAGCTTTAGTATTCAACAAATATTACGCTGACATCTTGTTCAAATCTTGTTGGCGGTGTGGGGGTTGGCGAGCTGTTGGAAGCGGCGGAAGCAGTCTCTCAAGTCTTGTTCAAATCAAATTATTAGTCAATTTTGATCTCAGCCAACTTTGCTTTGCAACAGGTACAATTCTCGTTGCCTCTAATTAATTAATTATTTATATAAACAGAGCATTTTTTTACAAAATAAAAAAAAATATTTATCTAATTTTGATTTAATTTGTTATTATCTTCATATTAAAAAGTATTTAAAATTTATTTTGTTCTATGAAAAATAAAAAATAAAAATAAATGCTTTGTCAGTAAAAGCTGTCATCAGGTATATGATTAGTTGCATGTCATTGAAAAGAAAAATATCCAGTTAATTGAGAACATCCAGGGTGGATTCCAATATTTTGCATGATATTCAGTACTGTCTCGTTTGCAGAATCTGTTAAAAACCCTCGAATCACACACTATTGTAAGTAATGAAATCTACAAGTCAAAATCTTAGTGTTGTAAATTATAAAACATGCAGCCCAGCTCTCACTGTAGTTTGTAATTGTTGCATTATTACCCTTTAGATTCTAACTTGGGATGAGGATGATTGGGGACACCAACATGCAGAGGTGTGTCAAAAGTTCTATCCAAAAAAAAAACATTGCTACACACGTTGTATCTGCTAATTTTGGCAACACAATAGATTCCTTCAGGGGTGGAGATTAGATTACGGCACTTTGGTTCTTGAATACATACCAGAATTTCTTCCAAGATTTTTAAATCAGAAGCATTCACTCACATGAACTTTGTCAATGTATCTTAAAAGCATAAATCGAAACTCGGACAGATTTCCCCCATTTTAACTTTTGAACACAGACCTCGGCATCAAAAGTGTCAGAACTAAATTATACACAATGCTCGGCAACAAATTCTCAGACTCAAGTTCAAAAAGGATGTGATCGGAGACACCAACATGCAGAGGTGCGTCGTGTGAGTGCTCGTTAACTGTTGGTTGCCGAAAAATCTCCCTCGGCATTTATGCGAAAACCTGCGCACCGTATGCTCTCTATGTGCTAAATGGGACCCCTCTCACAAGCCCTTGTCTAGTACTCTCTGCAAATTTAGATCATGTATTAGGTCAGCATACTTGTTTTTTCTTTGGCATCTGCAAACTAGCTCCCTATTCACTCATGACTCATGCTGCAACAATATCCATAAAAATGTTATTTTATGGAAAACTTCTTTTGTGTTTAATCTTTATAGTTATCTTCAAAACTTTAACTTTACTATTCCAATCTATTCTTAAGAAAATTATTCCAATCTATTTTCAGAAGTGGTTAACAATGAAAGCTGAAGTTCCTGATAATATAAATTTTAAAATAGTCAATCATGATTAGCCCTCTCTATACAATAATTTTTCGTGTGTGCTCAAAGTATGTTACAAATATGGCTCGGAAAGATTTAGGTAAAACTATTAATTATCGAGTGATGTTATCCTATCAGTGATAGATTTTTTTCATAGGTTGCCCAACCTTGCACCGTCAGATCGCTCTCTCATTTTCTCTCTCTTGTCAGCTAATTTCGTAAATGGCCTAACATAAACTAGTATATATTACTCCATATCTTTCTGTTCTTTACTTTCTTCTCCTACCTTCTATTTTGAGGTGTCTATGTGAGAGCGAAAGATTTATCCTCTCTCCCTTACCATACAGCTATATAGCTGGCCTGCTAGGTTTCACAAAATAGAACAGGAAAGGGGCAAGAATTTTTTATTATTTTTGCATAGTTAAATATGGGGAGAGTGAAGCTTCAGATCAAAAGGATTGAGAATACAACCAATAGGCAAGTCACTTTCTCAAAAAGAAGAAACGGGCTTATCAAGAAAGCCTATGAACTCTCTGTTCTCTGCGATGTTGATGTTGCTCTCATCATGTTTTCTTCATCTGGGAGACTTAGTCTCTTCTCTGGAAATAAAAGGTAGTGATATTGTTATTCTTTTTGTTCAAGGAATATTGTTATTCTTTTTGTTCTTTTGTTTAATTAGCAGTCAGATTAATCTGTAAATGCTAATATATATCAAGGAATATTTGTTCTTTTGTTTTTTTGTTTGATGGTACTGAAGCATTGAAGAGACTCTGGCACGGTATATTAATCTTCCCGCCAATCAGCGAGGACGGTAAGCAGATATTGACCATCAGATTATGGTTATGATCACATTCGATCGGAGCGTGTAATATTTCTTGTGTTCCTTTTGATGCATGGTTTTCATTTACCCTTCGGGTACGATGCCTTGATCTCCGTTTGGATCAACTTATGCAATTATAAAGTCAGCATAATCAAGAGGTAAATAAGCAGCACTCATAAGTTACATCCTTCCAAGAATTATATGTAAATTTGTTTATTTATTTGTATATATATGTTTTCAATTAGGGAAAGAATTTCACACACTCTTTTTGTCCTCATGCACACTCCTGTTTATTTCTAGCATTTGAGTTGAATAAAGAAAAAGAAAATTAATGAACAAAAACAAACATGGGTGCGCAAAAAGAGAAAATTGTTTGCAAAATTAATTTCCTTCATCTATTAATATCTTTATCTCTTTCAGATTTTTATTGAAGTGATGGTTAAATATGCAGTTTCTCCAAAGCGTTCTTGGTAAATTGTGGAGGGAAGCTGATCAAACCTATCAAGCAACCAGGTCTTGGTTCCCTACTTGTCTATGTTCTTCACCCTGCTTAGTTAAATTTCTAATGTAATCTTTTACCAAAATTCCTGGTCAAATTTAGCTAGTCAATTTATTTGGTGAACAAACGCTGGTGAGTATAGCAGTAGTACTCTATTGTACTGACCGTATTGTGATTGTTGCTATGATTTCATGTAATCGATGGATGCAGTCCGATGAGTGGTACTGATTCGGATCAACTGGAGGTACTTTATGAACATATTCAAGCACAAACAAGTTGATTGACACGGCTTCATATTTAAATCCTACCTATTTCTGAATTAATTACAGGAGATTCAACAAGACATCGTATGCTGCAAATCACAATTGGAAGAAATGGGAAATCGACTAAGGTGCTGCTATATTTACAAAACCCTAAACCCTATAGCGCGCATGTCTCCGATCACCGACAAATTACTATAATTAGCAAGCATCCTATGTATGCATTCCTCTTATATGTGAAGTGTCGATAGCAGGATCTTTGAAGGAGAGGATCTCTCTGAAATCAGGACATTGCATGACGCTGAGTACCGGGAACAGATCCTTGAGGAAACTCTAAAACGTTTGCGCGTGCGCAAGGTATGTTATATACTGAATACAGTACTTTGCTGGTATGCTCCTAGCTGCAACTACACCTGTTACTACGCATGTCGTTTATATAAATTTCAGCTGAAATTTATAACTTATGACATTAATTCATGGCAAAACATGTACAGCAAGTTCTGGAGGAGTATGATTCTTCTGCTACAATACTACAGGTCTGTTAAAGTAGCATTTTTGTGTGTACTTTATCTTTATAGTAAACATTTTTCGTCCTAACTGTATATGGAGAAACCTTTATAAGCATATCGCGGACATAGCTAGCCACATGATGTTATCTTTACAGGTGGTATAACATTTGTGGATGACAGAGTTTGATGTCTCATTTCGGATTATATTATGCTAGCACATATATTATAATGTGCCTGAAGTAATAACATCACGTAATGGTGGTCGTCGAAAAATTAGTAACTCGTCATAAGAGCATATACTTCAAGCATGCATGCCAAGAAGGAAATAACTTAAAGTATTCATTATTTAATATGTTGAACTGTGTATATACGTTTGCAGCTACCTACAGCTACAACAAATATACATGAACTTGTTACAGGAAGTCCACACAATATTCTAGTTGATTGGCTTCTACAAGGAGATCCACAAGTTCAGATTGTAAACTTTTTGAATTCAAATGGCTCTCTTCCCCTAAGGTGATTATAAATTATATTATATATACTGGCCAAACATGCATATATACAGAGAGCGCCCCTTAAAGAAACAGATGCCTTGTTTTTCAAAACAAAAAAAAAAAAAAAAAAGGGAGGGGGGGGGGGGTGGAGGGATTAGTTGAGGGCATCACACCACATCAGACTTCACTGGTCAAATTGTTTATCGTTCAATGAACCTCATAGATTATTTTTGCAAAATATTAGCCAATTTAGAAATATTTGAGGCATATAATTGAGTTCATTTGACAAACATTATGCTAATAAATATTGAAATTTCATCGAAACAACTATAATGGGGCAAATCTGGATTGAATTGAATTTTTTGAAGCATGATCTATAAATCGAAACTTATAAAATAGACGATTCAAATCATTGAAGTTTGAAGTAGAGTGAGTCTCACAATTAATCTTTTTTTTTTTTTCTTTTTGCAAAAACTAAAATCGCTTCCTTTAAAGAACCTGAATATATATATATATATATATATATATATATATATGCATACACACACATATTAATCTATATATCATTACAGTTATATATAGGTTAATGAAAAACTTATTAGTTTCGTTTAGTTAAATCAATGATTTTTTCTGCTTCGTGAGGATTAGAGATCAGCCAGCTGAAAGTAGATTTGACGCCATAGCTTCCCAATCAGCACTTGTTAGCGGACAAAATAGGAGTGTTGATGAGCATCGCAGCACAGGAAATGGTTTGGAGGATGACAATAATGGTTTGCAGCGTCAAGAATTAGGACAAGTTATTGATGTCAACTTTTCCGCGTGGAAGGATTTCTATCCGACAGGTATTTCTCTTTTGCATGTTCTGATAATTATATCCTTAGAAAAAAAAAATACATATATTATTTCTCTACAGTTCATGCAGCTAAACAATGACCAAGTCATGGTGCAAGGAATTGAAATAATTAAAAAATAAATAAATTTATTGACAGAAAATGAACACTTTCCTGCAGCTTCTTCAAGTGGACGAGGACTCTATATGTCATCACAGTTCAATCCACCACCAAGCATCTTGCACCCCAATCAAGATCAAAACCAACTTTGACATTTTGTATATATATTGTGGTTACAACTCGCATGATTTTACTGCCTTTCCTTCGAGTCTTATTACCATGTTGAAAGTCAATACAGAACTGTAAGAATCCGTAATGAACTTTTCCCTTGTTGCTATCATGCTATATAGTATATGCATGCATGGCGTTTTACATAGTAAAAAAAGTTACTCTTATCATATTTTTCATACCACATTTGTATCATCTTTATAATAGAGATTCAACCCACTTGTGTTGATAGGCCATTCCTCTATTAAAGAGATGATACAAATATGATGTGAAAAATGTAGTAAGTGTAGTGGAAGTTATGGTGAGGAGAAGGATAAGTATTATGTGCCTCTAGGAAACTAAGTGGGTTGGTCTTAAGGCAAAAGATTTCGAAAACACAATTTTAAGCTTTGGCATTCGGGAATAAGCAAATCGAGAAGCAATGTTGGCATCATCGTGGAGACTCTAACAAAAGATGTACATGTTAAGAGGGCTGGGGATAAAATTATAGCAATCAAAATTATGGTAGGACAAGAACTCGTCAATGTGATTAGTGTGTATGCACCTCAAGTTAGGTTAGATGAGAGTCTGAAGGTGAAATTTTGGGAAGATCTTTGAGTATTGGTTCAAGGAATCTCTCACATGGAGAAGCTACTCACAATAGGAGATTTAAATAGACGTGTAGGTAAGGAGACAGGCAATTACAGAAGGTTTCATGGTGGTCATGATTTTGGACAAAGAAACGAGGAGGGGAAAGACATTTTGAATTTTGCAATGGCTTATGATCTCTTTCTAGACAATACCTCATTTAAGAAGAGAGAAGAGCATGTGATCACCAACAAGAGTATGTCATCGTAACATAGATAGATTTCTTTTTAATGAGGAAAGGGGTCATATAACTAGTAAGGATTGCAAAGTTATACCGGGAGAGAGTTTGGCTAACCAACATCGCATATTGGTGGTAAATGTATGTATTAAAAGAGATAGAAGAAGGAACAAAACCCTTAAATATCGAAGAACTAGATAGTGGAATCTAAAAGGAGAAATACAAGTCACTTTCAACGAGAAAGTACTCACCCAATGCATTTGCGATACAAAGGGGAATGCTAGTCAAATGTGAGATTTCATGGCTAACTGTATATGAAATGTTGCAAAAGGGGTATTGGGAAAGTCCAGGGGTTTTGGTCCACATCAAAATAAATCTTGGTGGTGAAATAAGGAAGTAATGAAAAGGTAGGCTAAGAAGGAATGTTGGAAGACCTTATACAAGGATAAAACCACCGTTCTAAAAATTGGCCTAAGAGCTAGAATTCAGTTTGCCAATGCGATTATGTCCAAAACGTTAGGAAAAATCAGTGAGTTGTTAAATGCCAGCCTAGGTGCTCCTAGGCGACGTAGACGGCTGCCTAAGCGCTCCTAGGCGGAGTGCAAGATTTTCTAGGAAGAAAATCCAAATAAAACCCAAAATCGCAAAAACTTTCTCACCGCTTCGACTTCCTTTCTCTCTATACCACGACTTTCTTTGTCTGGCTGTCGCAGAAACACCAAAAAAAAAAAAAAATTTATAGAGCGGAGAACAAGAAGACGAAAGAAAAGGTTAGGGCTCTTTCCCCTTTTTAGGAACGAGAATATTCGATGTAAAGTAGAAGTAACCGCAAATGAAGAGAAAATTGGTTAATTTGATTTGGACATGTGAACCGAAGACTTGGAAAATGGGTAAAAGAAAACCTAAGAAGACTTGGAAAAAACTTTACAAACAAACATTGAGTACTTAGAGCTTACGGAAGACTTGACGCAAAATCGAGCGCAGTGGCATTTGAAGATTTATACAGCCGACCTCACTTATTGGGATAAGACTTTGTTTTTGCTATTGTTGTTGTTTGATAATTTGATATTTGTTATTGCTAATAATTTATAGGGTAAATACCCAACACAATCTCATACCTCATGTTTTAAACATTACAATGTCATACCTCAATTTATGAATTCGTTGAAATGTCGGACATCTGTTAAATATTTATTCAATTGGAAAGGGTCCATCTCCGGATCCATTCCACCCAATCACCTTATACGGGCCCTTGAAATTTGATATAACGGCTAAAGTTAATATAACTTTTAAAGAAACCTCCTGTTTGTAGTTGTTGAATCAAATTTCAAAATTCGGATTGATTGATTGTGTGAATTTGATGGAAGTAATCCAGAAAGGATCCCTTCCTCATTCAATTTAGCTTTTGAATGATAACGTGGCAGGAGCCTCACTCTTTATGCAATTGGAATAAAAAAATTAATTAATTAATAGTAAATTAAATAATTATTAAGGAAAGATTGAAAGCCATGAATGATGACAGATTAGAAATGAAAAGTTGAGAGTAAAGGATGAAGGGTTGAAGCCATTTTTCTCTCATTCGTCCTCTGCTTTTTCTGTTTTTTCTTTTCCAGATTTATTTGTAATTGGGGAAGGTTGATGAGAGTTATACGGGGAGAGAGTGGAATAGACAGAGTCGTTGGTGAGGTGGTGAGGTGGTTTGAGTCGGTGGTGTTGATATTTTGGGAGATCAGTGAGAGTCGGTAGAGGTGATGCTTCGGGTTTTGGGATTTGCATCTACTTTCAATCAACGGCAAGGAGAGAGGTGGTCCGCAGGCTCTCGCATAAAAACATCTGGAGAGGATCTGGTGATAGTAAAGAAATTGAAATCCACAAGTCTCAGCTATGATCAACTAGAGTTCAGAGGCTTTAATCTCTGATGCAGATCTGAATCTTAATTCCAGAGAGATCAGAGGCTCTGGCGGTGGGCCGGTGGCGATTTAGGGTGGGGGTGGTTAGCTTTCATGGTTGAGTGAGATCGGGGGTTAACGCTGATGGCGGGTTTGGGTGGGTGGGACTTTGGTGAGTAGTTTGGCTTCGACGGGAACGGCGACAAACGCCGTCATTGATTTTCTGCTTTTGCAGAAAGGAGAGGGACGAGAGAGTTGGAGAGAGAGAGGTTGAGAGGCAGCGTAAGAGGGAGAGTGAAAAGAGAGAAATGAAAAAAATAATAATTAATTAATTTTTTATTTCAGTTGGTTATGGAGTGAGCTCAGCCACTCTTACATATCATTTAACAACTAATTTGACAAAAAATTTAACATATCTAATATTGCAATAAATTCATAAGTTAAAAAATGACATTTTAATGTTTAAAGTATGAGCAATGACATTACAATTAAAGTATATTTCACATTTATTCACCAAGAGTTAATTCTTGAGTTTTGCAAAGCCCACTTCAAATAAATTTACACAAAGCTTCTTGTTCTTTATTCAAACAAAAGAGCAAACACCACCAAGCTCCTTATTCTATTTCTATTTACACATATCATACAACAAGTATCATCTTTAGCACAAGACTTAATTCTCCAGTTTCGAACCTGTACAAATTTAATTAGGGTGAGCATAAAAGCTTAGTAGGGACATTACACCTTAATATATATATATATATATAACCATGAGGATATTATTTTCATGTAGTTAAAACACATTAGAAAAATGATATGTATGAATACATAAAACTCCTTTCTTCAAACCCATAACATTAACCTAAACACTATATATGAAAATCAAAGAGGAAACTAAACATTTTATAATATGAAATTATGGGGTTTTGGCTGAAAGAGATTGACTATTGATTAACCAACCTCCTCGTACAGTCGTACTCCCATTAAAATTATTGGAAAGATGAATCAAATAAAAGGAATGAGAAGTCTAACCAAATAAGAGATTACTTCAACTCCTAGCATTCTTTCTCCTTCACTAGCCTTCTACAACTGAAACTATAAAGCTCTCCGTCTGACATTTTTATTATCATTAATTCTCAGGAGAACTGACTCCCTATTTATACAGGTTTTTGCTTCTTTTTAACTGGCTAAAAATTCAAACTAATCCTAACAATCATGAGGCCTAACTCTAGACTCTTCACCACTTGTTTCCTAGACCTCCACCTCCTGCTTCCATAGGCTCCACAAATTCTCCTGGAACTAACACTCAAGTGAACACCTCATGCTTGCTAGCAGTAATAGGAGGAATTCATCTGACTCTCACATGGTAACTAGATTGAGATGAAAAATCCTAGCCAATGAAAATAACACACCTCCTGATTTTAAATTCTTAGGTAGTGGTAAGAGAGAAAGAGGTATGAAAATCACAAGCTCAATTGTACAGTCAAAAGGAAATAAAAACAAATTTACCTTACGAATTACTTGTTGGCTACTCCAATTTGACTCTAGATAAGCATGGAATTATAGAACCAAAGACAAAATTTATCTCTTGCTTCTGAAATCGAAGAGAAAAAGCGATGGCTTTTCCCCCTCTTTAAGAATCAGGACAATTTGAGAAAGAGGAGTTTGTGAACTCCTTTTTGGAGTAATCGTGCAGGAGGAAATAAACAAATTAAAATATAATAAAAATTAAAATAAAATCAATAAATTAATAAACAACTAACTATTATATTTGTATTTTTTTGTCAAATAATTATATATATATATCTAAACCACATATTAATAAAACATTGTTTATCAACCAAAAACTAATAAAATTACTACTATACCCTTTAATACAAAACTAAAAGAAGATAATAGAAAAGAAAACAATGTGGGCATTAAAGTAATTTTGTACAAACAAGTTTTTACTTTTTTTTTTCTTCTAAACCTCACAACTATGTCACTTTATCAATACGCTTTCAACTCATTCTATCTTATTCTCTCTCTCCCCTAACTGTCAACCCCTATTTTTTAGGATGCATGTCAACCTGTTAAAAACAAATAACTCCGCTCATAACTAACCATATAAATTTTTGCGAGTTAAATCATATAGTTGCACCACTAACTAATTAATAAAAATCAATCGCATATGAACAAGTTTTAAAGACTCGACGCATCAAGCGTCAAGCACCGCCTAGCAAAGACAATTTGACCAAACAAACACCTAGTACCTCCATCACTTAATTACAAGGTCGGAATAATCCCAGTTAACATTTGTCAACAAATTAAACAAGAAAACGATAATCCTGCCCCATATGTGAGAGTCTTTGACTACACTGCTACAAAACTACCCATTACTAGCATAAATAAAAACGACAAGAAAAAGTTCTTACTGTCGGA